TAAAATGCTATTAACTTGGTCTAAATAAGCACGTATGTCTGGCATTGAATTTTGCCATTAATATGTTGTAAACTGCTTTGAGTCCCCCCAGGGGTGATAAAAGCAGTATATAAATACAGTAAATAAATAAATAAATAAATAAATAAATAAATAAATAAATAAATAATGAAGTTGGACACTTAAGTTACCCTGCATTTGATTCAGATTACTCATATCAATTAGTTATTTTATTATTCTCTTTTATGGATGCCATGTTATGTGGAAGCTTATTTAGACCAAGTTAATAGCATTTTAGGCTTCCTCTGCATGAAAGGTGTTCACTTTTTGAATGATAAGAATTATATGTCTCATGGAGGAGGGGGGAGCAAACATTTAGAGATGCTTAGGTGGGGCATGGTGGAAAAAAGGATTGGAAAGGACTGTTAGCAGTGCTGTTGTCATGAGTCTCATCCTTAGATTATACTATTGAAAAAAACCTTTTATATTCATCTGAACTTCAAACACTTTGGCATTGGGTTGAAGAATGGTGCAAACCACAAACACCTTCTGTTTGTAGGTTTTAGATCTTGATTCTCCCCCAACATAGACACAATTCTCCATCCCACAGATTCGTCCAGACAGCGTCATCTCAGTCAACTGTTTTCTTTTTGGTCAAGCTTTCTTTTGAATATTGTACTATAGTTTCATTTGACTTCATAATAATGATCTACCATTTTCCCCTGATTTAAAAAGAAAAACATATAACCATATGAGCATTTTGGACTTCTTAGAGAAGTTCTGTAATGTTTGGAACTTCTGAATAAACTCAAGGAGAGCTATACAATATTAGAACATTTGGAAGTGAGTTTACTACCATATGTTCAGCTTCTACATGTTTCTCCTTAGGCCAGACATAGATATTACAGTAGATGGGTAGATTCAGCAAAAAACTGCAGTTCTGTCTCTTTCTTTCTCCTCAGTTACATTTAACAATGCATAATATGGGAATGTTGTAAGTCATTTGTTGGAGCAAGGGGCAAATAACCATTTGGTTGAGAGTAGCGGTAAGGGATCTGGTTTTAATCTTTCTGGTATGAAAACTGTGTCCCTTCCAGCAAGTTTCCCTAGCTCCTACTTGTTGACTGGAGAGAGATATTTGTATTTTATTTAACGCTCTTACATCAGTATGGGGCATTGTAACCCACAGAGTTTAATTTAATTTCAGAATCTTCACAGAACTAGACCTATAGTGTAAGACATTCTGTGAAATTTTCAGCTGTGTAGTTATGCAAACTTGTTTGTTTTTGTATTTGTTTTACAAACAGCCAAACTTTAAAAAAATCACAATATATCTGTTATTTTTTCCCACTGCAGTATACTGTGTGGCTTGTTTGTTTGCTTGCCCAAGGCTGGAAACCCAAGCTAGAATAGTCGCATCAAATCAGGTAGCCTCGCTGACTAATCAGTGGGACTTACATAAGTGTTTACTTGTTATTGAACAGAAGATAAAATGTTGTAGATGGGGCTTGCAGCAATTGGATTTAGTCCAAAATGTCCATTCTTATTATATTATTTGGAAAAATCATGATAAAGCTAAAGTAACATGCTATGATTGTCAGTTGCTCTGTTTCCCCTTTTAGGGGGAAAAGTTTTTGCCCCATAGGTGATCCATTGGAATAAGTGAATTAACAGAAGTAAGAGTGGGAAGTAGCTTTGAAGGAGAGCCCGGTGGGTTTTAATATTCCTTGACAATATCATGTTAACATCAAATTAAGAGTTTTTGGAACTTGCAAGCAGCATGGAATGGGTGGGGGGATTCACTGTGCTAACACTCTCTTACCACATTTTTGGATTGCCAATCATTTGTTGTTAGCTGCTGTCAAGTTGATTTTGACTTGTGGTAACCCTATGATTGAGTGACCTCCAAGTCACCCTATCATCAACAGTTCCTCAGGCTCAGGGCTGTGACTTCCTTGACGATGTCTATCCATCTATAATGTAATCTTCCTCTTGTTCTACTGCTTTGTACCTTGTCAGGCTTTATTGTCTTTTCTAGTGAGTCTTGTTTTGTCAAGAGATGGCCAAAGTATGATAGTCTCAGCTTAGTCCTCTTGGCTTCTAGTCAGAATTCAGGCTTGATTTGTTCATTTACTTGTCTTTTTAGAGGTCCACAGTATCACATTTCTTCACTGTCCAGGTTCCACAATTATGCACAGAAATGGACAATATCCCTTTGGGGAGATAAAGCAGGTTATAAATAAATATAATTATATAATATAACGGACTATTCACCGAGAGCCCTAATTCAGCTCTGGCCTTGATTCCATATGCAGAACAGAGATTATTTTTATGTCTTTCAAGCCTGAAATTCCTTGGCATAGGAAAGCAAACTGTAAACAAGCTAAGTAATGTTTATGAAAGTGTTCAGAATGTGGACCATGTTGTTAGAGATAATTATATTTATTATGAAAATAGCAGAGAAGCTTCTTAGAGAATATTTCTTCTCTAGGAAGTATATACCTATATGATCACTGATATGTTTTGTGATTTGTGCTTGGAAATGTTGACGTATTCAGCTGTCTTAATAGTAATGTAAAAAAGCTATATACATGTGAGGTTTATTTGATTTGTTATGATGAAATTGCTTTTTAATTTTTGTAGAAAGGATTTTAACAGGGGAATTAGATACTGGTAGAAATGTGGAAGGAATGTGACCTCAAACAAAAATTGTTCTAAACTTTGTTTCCTAGGGATGTTTGTTCTGCAAAGCCTTTTTAAAATTAACAATAGTACCTCCCAGAATTGATTTCTTGGAACTCAATACTACTATAACACTTACAGGTTTTCCCTCTCGATTCTTCCGGTACTTGAAGCTTGCTTTCTTTTCTCCTTTCTGAACAGTAAGCTCCAGTCTTTTCAGGGTTACTATGTCAGGCATGTATTGCATGAACTCCACACATGTTGAATGCAGCCATATTTCTTTATAACCATCTTATACATTACTGTAAGAAATGTTGGTTGATCAGTCAGTTACTTTTTCAGAAGATCCTTGATATTTCCTGAACAGTCTCCTTTTGATACGAAGCAGAAGATTTCTAATATAATCTGATCTGCAACCAATGGTACTGTACTAAATTTTGAAATGTAGACACTCATTACAGTTCCCATACTGAGCCCTCAAGGGGAATCCAGTAAGGCAAGGCAGCTGTATAGATCTATAATAACAGGTCAATCAAAATAATGTTCATCTTCTCTAAGAGCAGGTATTTGATATAATGGAGCATAAAAACTCATTCAAAAACAAGAAGTTCTAAGTCCTTTGCATAACTAAGGAGTATTTCACAACAATATACTGCAACTAGAAAAATTCACACGCATGCACCTACAAGGAATATTATATGATAAGGACGAGGATGCAGTGAAATTAGAACAAGGAATATTGGGAGAAATGACACAAAATATAATCATTGAAGCTCATCAAAAAGTACAATTCTTTTCATCCTATAAGTCCTGCCTCTACTATGCCACTTATTGTAATATTGTTACCTGGATTTTGATGCTTTGTCAATAACTGATAGAAATCAAAGGATCTCTAAAGATATGCTGAATTTCTTGGTCAAGCATGCCACATTGAAAGTACACTTTGTCCTTTTCCTTGCAGATCCTTTTCAGACTTGCATGCCAAGATGTCAAACTAATTTCTGCATGGAAATATCCCTCCAGTTTGCTACTTTTGTTTTCCTTGCATGAATATAAATTCCAAACAAATGTATCAGAAATTTTCAGCATTTTGAAAAAATATTTCAAGCATTTTGAAAAAAAAACATAGCAAATGCAAATTGAGTTGTATACTAACTCTGTGTGTGTGTGTGTGTGTATCCATGCCCTCACACACCACTCTGTGATTATGATGGCATTTCCTCATACATAATAACTGTTTAATGTGAGTCAGATGTCTCAGCTCATCTTCTTTGTCACATATTTTTCACCACAACACATACCACATCTACATAATTTATGTCAGATTTAAGTGAAATCCTAGCCCTTTTTAAATGATTGGGCTATTGGCTTCTGTGGACCTAGGATACTGAAGTCAATATTTAATTAGTCAAATACATCGCACAGTAACTTCTGATTGCAGAATTCCAGCTATAATGGGATTTTCCTTCCCTCCTTTACGTCTGGAGTAATCTGTCCAAAGGATTTTGCTATCTGTATGATTTTTGCTCTGCAGTCCCATTCCCCCCCCCCCCCAAGTGGTGTGAAGCGCAAAGATAGCTGTACCAGGAACAGATACAAAGGATGAAAACTGCTTGTAGAAGACCACCTTAGAACCAAAATCAGTGTTTCTACCATAGTTGATCAAAATGAGGAATTTCTTTCCTTGGTTGGTCTTTCATGCAGTCCTGCACTAAAATTCAGAAAAACATATGTATAGCCACATCTCCACATCCATAGACTCTGAATTCATGGATTTGGCCATCTATGGCTTGATTTTAAAAAATGCAAACCTTGATGTAAAGGATACTATTGTATATAATTTGACTTGAGCATTCACAGATTTTGGCATTCATTGGGATCATGGGCCCAAAATGCAATGGATACCAAGATCCCACTCTAATCAAGTGTTCATCCTTTCGTGAAAGTCATTAATTACATAAAATGTAGTTTTGAGGCAAGGATAATACTCGGGATGGGAAAGTAGTATATGACTTGTGATTCTGAGAGAAGAAAAATGGATTTTAAAAGTAATATAGACAAAGAAAATATCTAAGAAATTTGAAATTAAACTGTAAAATCCAGTTGAGAATGGGGCATTTTGCACAGTGGGAAGAGAGGATTAATCAGGACTATCCATGCCAAAGTGAGATAGTTGGATGATTATCCTAGGAAAACAGTGACCGTGTTATGTGTTAATGTCTCAAGTGAACTTAATTTTGAAATGTCTAACCTATTACACTTGTTCTGATGATAAATCTGCAACAAATCAAATTTCTAAGACTCCTGCTTTTATGTTTCAGCTTTTTTTCTAAGCTCACAGTCTCTCTCCAGCCTCCTCTAATCAGGGAGCAAGCCTGTCTTCTTTCTGGGTCTCAGAGGTACTTCTACTCACTTTTCAGTCTTGCAAAAATAATGTTTGGTGCGTTTGGTTTATGAACACTGGGCTTGTTAAACTAAGAATTGAATACATTTCATCTTCCTGTTTTCTCTTTGCTTCAGCTTTTCCTTGCATTTTGCAGAAGTAACCAGAAAACTGCAGTTATAATTATGTGCAAGATAGAAGCCATGATTAATGGCTTCTGAAGAAGCTAGGATATGGAAGTCAATTTAAAAGTGCAGCTTTATTTTCTACCTTGTTTGGAAATCCTAGTTTTTCAGGGCAAAGGAAACTTGGACAAAGGGAGAGGCAAAGCAGGAGTGATCAGATGATATGCATTCAGTTTATTAAACTGCATTTTAATTGTCAAAGTACAACTGAAGTGTGCTGTGTTATTGTTCTTTTGAATGATTGATTTGGTCATTTAAATTCAAGAGTTGTATTTCTGATTCATTTCAGTTGTTAGATTTGTTGGTGGGGAGGGAAAGAAAAAGACCTTCACAATTATTTTAGGTAAATTATTTTAAGGAAAATGTGTATGTGTGTGTGTGGACATATTTACACACACCACACCTACTTTTAAGTCCCAAATAGTTTAAACCTGTGAATGTCTTTCTTCAGTGTTAATTGTGAATCCATAAATTTTACAGTATTCTTAAATACCTGTTCATTTCTTCATGTATTACTTTCTTTTTCAGTTGTTTGCTCTGCTTGTCTTGCTTTTAGATTTCTTGTTCTTCTTACACGTTTTTGTATGAGCACTGAAGTATAACCAAAGGAATCTTAAGCACTTAGCTTTCTCTTAAAGTAAACATTACTAAAGCTGTCCTTGAGGGGATTCCTCTCTACTTACACAGAATAACATTGTTCCATTAATAGACTGAACTGATAGTCAACAATGATGCAAGATGTTATATCCCAAGGCAGGAGAACAGTGGCCATCCATGACCCACTCAAGTCTGCTGCCGCCTATAGCCTGGCTCTGAGGAAACCCACAAAGCTCTTTATTGGGGGGTCCTTGAGCAATTTTTGCAGTTCTGTTCTGCTGGAGTGAGGGAATCCTCAGACCAGCGGATGGTGGTTTTCGGGAGTCTGCCATATCCCTTGGTCTGGCTTATCTCTTAGCTTCCTCAGAGTGAGATTGAAGAAGTGGCTACTCATTGCTCTCCTGCTGTAGCATTTGAAGGAGCACAGCATTCAGAGTTCAGTTCCCTGGGAATTTCAGCTTCTTTTGTAATTTTAGTAAAGTTGGACCTGACACCTCCTTCATATTTGACAATATGATACCACTTTAACCGCCATGGTTGCTGCTTCTTATGGGATCAAAAGATTTGTAGTTCAATGTGTCATTATAGTTGTCTAGTAACAGAGAATTCTTAACACCTCACATAACCACAAATTCCAGGATTCCATAGGATAGAAGCATGGCAGTCAAAGTGGGATCTATGTGGTATAATGAAAGAAATCTAAGATTGCACTCTATATATCATTTTATGTATAATGGCAATGTCTCAGAAACCCCCAAAGGCTACAGCAATGACTGGATGAGATTCTGGCATTTGTTTCATTACTCTTTACATATGACTTGTTAATTATTTTAGAAACACATAAAAGTTTGAAGAGATAAAAAGTAAGAAAATCCTATTAAATTCATGTAGTGGTAAGTGAGTAGTGCATGTAGTAAAGTGAGTAGTGCAATAAGAGACTATGAATTAACATTGACAACGTGGACTGGCCCTGGATGATGACTTGGATTATGTGATTTTAAATTGTTGTTTAACGTTATGTTTTTAATTGGCTGGTTTTTAATGTTTTGAAGTGTTCTTTATTTATTGATGATATGTTCACACGCTGCATCGAATTGTTGCCTTTGTAAGGCAGCCCCGAGTCCTCTTTGGGGTTTGTGTATTTATTTATTTACAGAATTTATATTCCGCCCTTCTCACCCTGCAGGGGACTCAGGGCAGATTATAATGCACATATACATGGCAAACATTCAATGCCATTAGACATACAACATATAGAGACATACACAGAGGCAATTTAACATTCCAGCTTTCCGGCTGCATGAGAGTATACTCGATTCCAGCCACGGGGGAGCTGCCGCTTCACCATCCACTTGTGACACCAAGTCCTTGATGGAGTACTTTCCCATTCTTACAGACACTGCTGGAAGGTTTTATGGTGTCGTGAATTAGTTAAATTAGCCTCCCCACATAAAGCGGTACCTAAATTTCCTACATGACAGATGCAACTGTCTTTTGGGCTGCATAGGTCAATAGCAATCTAGACTGTTAAAGTCAGGAGCTCACTCCAACCCGGGCTGGCTTTGAACTCATGACCTCTTGGTCAGTAGTGATGTAATGCAGCTGGCTACTAACTAGCTGCACCACAGCCCAGTTGAGAAGGGCGGGATATAAGTGCAGTAAATTAATTAATTAATTAATTAATAGTGGCCATTACTTAAAGCTTGAAGGCATATACACACAGCACTATCCAAAGATCCTTAAATACTCAGGACCAAAAAATATTCTCTGCATGAAATAGGCCCTCTTTCTTTTTTTAAAAAAGCATCTATTTATACTCCAGAGGGCATATCAGCATTACTAGATAGGAATACATTTATTTTCAAATCATAGGAGTAATCTGTTTTAATTAGAGGGGCTGATTTCCCAAATATGCTATTTCTTATCTTTTGCAGAATGTTTTCATTTCCTCCACCCTGTCTGTACATCTGTGCATCAGAAAGTCTGGATTTTGTATTGATAACATAGTGGCTGTTCTATATCATAATCTGTAATATAACCTTTCAGTCTGAATTCTTTGTGGATGATCGAATATAGTGTGGGAGGAAGTGGGAGTGGAAATTGCAGTCAGAGGACATGCATTTATTGGGTTATAGGTATTTCACTGGTTTTAAAGCTTTGACAGAATTCTATCCAAAGAAACAAACTCCTTCAATCTGCATGCAGAAGAACCAATCATTTCCTGTCGTAGTCACTGTGAATCGTACATTTGGTATCCCTGCGCTTGCGCAATACAACTTACGGAACCTTCTAGAAAGAAAAAGAAACTTTCAGCCCTCAGCTAGGCCCGCCCCCCCCCCCCCCGAGTATATATAGCCCCTGGGCGGGACTAGCCGTCAGTTCTCTTAATCCGCTTGTGGCAGCTTGAGAACCTTCTATGACTTTGCGATTCTCTATCTGACTTTGAATTTTGGACTCTGGACTTCTCTTTTTGACAATTCTACTGCTTAGCCCTCTTGCTTGACGTTGGATCGGACTGATTTTAAGGTACTTGACCCGGATTTGAATCGACAAATCTCTTAATCCCGCTATGGCTACTACTTCCTTTAAGAAGTGTACCAAGTGCCCGAATATCCTGCCGGACACAGATGGGCACACACTGTGCCTCACCTGCCTGGGGGAGGCCCATCTGACCCAATCCTGTACCATTTGTGCCTCCTTTACACCCCAAACGAGGAAGAATAGAGTGTCCAGGCTTCGGGCCGCACTCTACGAAAGGGCCCTCATGCCGCCCTCCGCCCCAGCTCAATCCGCGGAGCGGCCAGACCTACCTTTCTTATCCTCCTCCTCCGCTCCGGCCAAGAAGAAAGCCAAGAGGCCTAAATCTAATGGGCCTAAAAATGGCGGCCAGGCACCCGCACAGGCTAAAACCTTGGAGGAAAGAGCGGGAAGACCGTTTGAGGCCCATCGCGCCACGGCTCCTCTGTCGGCTTCGGAGACTCCAAGCGAAGCGGTGCGCCCTCTGCAGGCAGCCGGAACATCTCGGGCGACGTTCACGACGTCGACCCCGCTGCCTGCGCATGCGCCCGCTGTCACACCGGCCTCTCTGACCCCTCCTAATGCAGCGATGCCGATGCTCTCGCCTCCGCCGCTGAGCCGGGCCCGAGAATCCGAGATGCCGCAGATGTCGGCGGCGGCCGCTGCTGTGCCCTTGCCTCTCTCCCCGCTACCGGCCCTGCTCCAGGATGGAGCTCTAACAACCCCGCCTCCCTCGGGCTCGAGGGAGGCAGCTGAAGGGGCTTCCGGTTGCGCCCAACCAATGACCGAGGGCGCCCCAGCGGGACAGGCCCCCATAGTGGAAGAGGCTTCTGATGTGCCGGCATCGGCGATACCGGTCCAACCCTCTTTGCGACGCCACAGCGCAAGGCCCAGGAGATCAAGGTCCCCATCCAGGAGGAGCACCAGGTCGCGCCGCCGCCGCCGCCGATCGGCTTCGAGGCGATCCCGCCGTTCCTCCTCCTCCTCCTCTTCGTCGACTTCGTCCTCCTCCTCCTCATCAGCTTACTCCAGGCGGAGCAGAAGGTCCCGAACCTCCAGACGCTCACGCTGGCACCGCTCCTCCATGGCCCCACCTCCTTGCCCGGGTTTTTGGCAAATGGGCCCGTCGGGCCAGATGTTGTTTGTGCAGGCCCCTCCTCCTGCTTTGCCCGTCCCGACGCTCCCGGTAGCGACGACATCGAGGGCGCCACCACCATCGGCCGCTTGTCCTCCAGTGCCTAATGGGTTGCCTTCGGCCTCTTTTCAGCATGACACTGGGAGGGCCCTCCCATGTGGAGCTCCCCCCGCACTCAACTCTACTGACATTGACTTACCTGCTGCATCCTACGGGGCAACGTCGTCCCGCACTACGTTGGCCTTACCTGCCTGTACTCCTGGCGATTTGCCCAGCAATGCCACCACCACCCTGGCCACCTCTCAAGGCAACCTGCAAGGTGATTCTACTCCTATGAGACCGACCTTGCTGCCCGAGGGCCCTGACCAAAGGGCAGTCGATTTGGAGGGCTCTGACTCTGATCAGGAGCCAAATGACATTGCGAACCAAGGGGAGGGGGAGAATGTTTCCTTTATTCACCCCGCGGATGTCAATAAGTTTGCGGCACTGATCGATAGAATGATCAAGGCCTTAAACATCCCCGCCCCCAAACCTCCCGAACACGTAGAGGACCCCATGTTTCCCTCGGAGGAGCAGGTCATAACCCCTGCATCTCCCCTACCTGTGCTCCCTTACCTCCTAAAATTAGCAAGGGTCTCCGACATGTCCCCCTCTCTAGTCCCAGCTATTCCTCGACGTCTAGACTTACTGTATAGGATTGACGTGTCCTCGGCCAAATGGGTCTCTACCCCCCCCAGGCCGAATACGGTGGTCGCCGAAGTGGCAAAGACCAAGAGACCTAAAAATTCACTCACTGCCCCCCCAGACAGGGAGGGTAAGAAAATTGATTCTCTAGGAAGAAAGGCACACCTCTCTGCTGGGTTGTTTACCCGAATGGCACACTATGCCACCTATGCTAGTGGCTATCAAACGTTCCTGTGGGGTAAGATGTTGGAGTATATCGAGCTCTTACCGGCTGACCAGCAGCGCTTTCCTAGAGCCATACAAGGGGAGGCACTAACACTGTCAAAGATGCAAAAGGACGCGGCCAAGCATATGGCTGAGGCTGCAGGTAATCTGTACTCCACTGCAACATCACTGAGAAGGCACGCGTGGCTGCGTGCATCTAACTTGTCTGAGGAAGGGAAGGCCCTTGCAGAGGACCTTCCCTTCCACGAGGAGGGCCTTTTTAATCCGCAGACGGATGACAGGCTCAAACAAAAACAAGATGTGAGACAAGCTGCAGGGAAATTCGGATATGCTTGGCAGCCCTACCCCCAGCAACGCCAGAGGTGGAGCCTCCCCTCTTCTGGGTATCGTAGGGGCTATGGAAATGCTTATGGTAATTCCTTTAGGGGCAGGAGCAACAATAATTCTTCTAGGTTTCAGGGCGGTCGCCGGACTCCCTATTTCCCTAGACCTCGTAACCAGGGGTTTGGAAATAAGTCTAAAGCTCAACAGGGACCCAAGAAGCGTCTTTGATGCAGAGACTCCTGTAGCTACTCAGGGGAACTGTAACCCAAACTTGCCTGTTGCAAATGATTTCGCCCCCGTTGTGCAGACTCCTCTACCCACTGTTTCTCTAATGTTTGGTGATAGGTTGTCCCCGTTCCGCCAGTCGTGGTCTAGCATCACCACGGATGGTTGGGTACTTTCCATTGTTTCTCATGGCTATGAAATTGAGTTTTCTGATCCACCCAGAGTGGGCCTTGTCCGATGCACATTACCATCAGGCCCCCTGTTACAAGAGGTACAAATGTTATTGGATAAAGGAGCTGTTTCCCCTTTGGACCCTTCTGTTTTCAAATACTGCTTTTTCTCCCGCTATTTCCTGGTTTCCAAACGTGGAGGTGGGCTGCGTCCCATCCTTGACCTGAGGCACCTCAATAAACATGTTCGACCAAAAAAGTTTAGAATGGTCACTCTTGCCTCCATTTTACCTTTATTGTCCAAAGGGGTGTGGTTTGCTACCGTCGACTTAAAAGACGCGTACTTCCACATATCAATTGCGCATCACCACCGAAGGTTCCTCGCCTTTATGGTGGGGGATAGGGCTTATTGTTTCAATGTCCTCCCCTTTGGGTTATCCACAGCCCCCCGGGTGTTCACAAAGTGTATGTCGGTGGTGGCCGCATACCTGCGCACAAGGGGCATTACGGTATACCCCTACATTGATGACTGGCTGATTGTGTCGAGGTCAAGAGACCAACTCCAATCCCAAATCTCTTGTGTTCTATCCCTTCTCCAGTCTCTCGGCCTGGTGGTCAACCTCGACAAGTCATCTCTGTGCCCGTCCCAGCGGATCAGCTTCATCGGTGCCACGCTGGACTCGGTCTCTCAGAGGGCCTTCCTTCCACCAGACCGCTTCGCCAACCTGAGGGAGCTGGTGTTACAGGTCATGCGTTCCCCGTCGGTGTCAGCCAAACAAATCCAGATCCTGTTGGGGCACATGGCCTCCACCACGTCTGTCACCCCATATGCCAGATTACGCATGCGGCCCCTCCAGTCATGGTTTGTCTCAACGTTCAACCCACTGGTGGACAACCCTTCCATGAGACTCACGGTGCCGGCGGCTGTTCGCCAGTCCCTTTATTGCTGGCAGGATGCGCTGTGGGTGTGTGCGGGGCTTCCTTTTCATCCTCCCACCCCCACGCGGGTCATTACTACGGACTCGTCCCTCAGGGGTTGGGGTGCCCATTCCGAGGGTCTCATCGCTCAAGGCGTATGGGAAGGAGAGGAAAACGCCCTTCACATAAACATGTTAGAACTCCTCGCGGTGGAAAGGGCGCTACTCTCTTTCGAAAGAGTCGTAGGGGGCCAGATAGTACAAATCCTCACCGACAACACCACGGTGATGTACTATCTCAACAAACAGGGGGGCACCCATTCCCTCCCCTTGCTGTCTCTAACGATCCGCATTTGGAATTGGTGCTTGGATCGGGGAATACACCTCTTAGTAACACATCTCCCGGGGYAGCAGAACCAGCTAGCGGACTCACTCAGTCGGGGTCCTCTAACACACCACGAGTGGTCCCTTCACCGCGGAGAGACCCGGAGACTCTTCCTGGCATGGGGCACTCCAGAAGTGGACTTATTTGCGACTCAGATCAATTCGAAATGCGACCTGTTCTGCGCTCGGACTCAGGCCTCCATAGAGATAGGGTGTCTGGGGGACGCCTTCCTTCTGGACTGGTCGACTCGACCGATGTACGCGTTTCCCCCGTTTCCCCTCATCCTGAGGGTGGTGGCCAAGATCCAAAGAGAAAACGCGCGGTGCATTTTAATAACCCCGTGGTGGCCTCGCCAACCTTGGTTCTCTCCACTTCACCAGATGGCGAGGGGYGTATTCTTCCGATTCCCGGACAGGTTCGATCTTCTAACGTCGCAGAACGACCAGGTCTTGTATCCGGAGGTGGGCAAACTGAAGCTCACAGCGTGGAGGATTCTTCCTCTTCTCTAGCTTCATTTGGAACATTGTCTTCTCCGGTGCTGGCGATCATTGATGCTGCACATAGACCTTCGACGAAACGTTCTTATGTCTATAAATGGGCGAGATTTGACTCGTTTGTCCGTTCAAAAGGACTTGATCCTATGACTGCTCAGACTTCCGTCGTTTTGGATTTTTTGGTGTCCCTGGCGGATTCGGGACTATCTCATTCTTCATTAAAATGTTACCTGGCGGCGATTTCCTGGTTTAGAAGGAAGTCTGGTTTGCCGTCATGTTTTACGGATCCACTAGTTAGGATCTTTCTGCGAGGATTCGCTAATATTAGGCCTTCGGTGGCCCCAATCGCTCCATCTTGGAGCTTGGAATTGGTGTTAAACTGTTTATCAAAACCTCCCTTTGAACCCTTGGCTAGGATTGACCTATCCTTTTTGTCATGGAAGACAGCCTTTCTGGTGGCAATTACATCTGCTAGGCGCTCCAGCGAACTATGTGCGCTACGAGTAGACCCACCCTATCTTAAGTTTCATAGTGATAGAGTGGTCTTGCGTACAGATGTGGGTTTTCTCCCTAAGGTGGCTACTCGTTTTCACATATCTCAGGAACTGGTGCTTCCGGGGTTCTTTCAAAACCCAGTTACGCCGACAGAGCGGGCTCTGCATTTGCTGGATGTTCGCAGGGCTATCGCTTTTTATGTGGATAGGACGGCTCTGCTCCGGAAAACCCCTAGGTTATTCATAAAATATCGTAAAGACGCTATTGGTCTTCCGTTGTCTTCCCAGAGATTTTCCTCGTGGATAGTTTCTGTCATTAGTTTGTGTTACCGTCTGGTTGGTAAAGATCTGCCATTGCAGATACGGGGTCATTCCACTAGGGCTGTGGCAACGTCGACAGCCTTTTTACGGGGAGTGTCCTTAGATGCCATTTGTCGGGCTGCTGTTTGGTCGTCCCCTCTGACTTTCGTGTCACATTATAAGGTGGACGCTGTTTCCCAAAGGGATATGGAATTTGGTAGAGCGGTACTATCTTCGGCGGTGGCATGATCCCGCCTGCCAAGAGGGATGCTCGCTAATCTACCAAATGTACGATTCACAGTGACTACGACAGGAAATTATAAGTTGCTTACCTGTAACTGTAGTTTCCTGAGTAGTCACCTGTGAATTCGTACATACCCGCCCTTCCTCCCCTCGAGTATCATGCCACGCCGTCTAGCTGTTTTTGCGGCTTAGAGAACTGACGGCTAGTCCCGCCCAGGGGCTATATATACTCGGGGGGGGGGGCGGGCCTAGCTGAGGGCTGAAAGTTTCTTTTTCTTTCTAGAAGGTTCCGTAAGTTGTATTGCGCAAGCGCAGGGATACCAAATGTACGAATTCACAGGTGACTACTCAGGAAACTACAGTTACAGGTAAGCAACTTATAATTCTTTTTTGTTGTTGAATGCACAGTGCCTCGGGTTAATTCATAGATATGTCACGTAGCAAGGCAGTACATAACCTTAATCAACCCTGACAGTATGGTTGAGTCATCCCATTCTGTTAGAAATACAGCATAGACTTCTTGTGATTATTGTGAAAGTCTGCCTCCTCCAGCCTGCTGCTAAGCAGAGAGATTGGACTACAGTTTCCATTCTCTCTAGACAGCTGGGCCATTGGAAGGCATCAGTTTGGTGTAGAATGGTCAAAGTAGTTTGGAGCTGTTTCTAAGTAGTTGAATGAATATTTTGTTTAGGTTGTAAAATGCTTGTATGCTTACAGTGATGATAACAAAAACAACAGTGATTTTACCCACCCTCTTTTCCTAGGCCAGGTGATGCAGCGTACCCAGAAGGGCATCCTGGAGAAAGAAGAGTTCAGCAGGATTACAGTGTAGGAAACAAATGGAAGGCATCTGGTAGGCCCTCACATACAGGACAGGCCACAGCTGCAGCTCACGGGAGCCGAAGTAGATCAGGGACATTGCCCAGCGATTACAGATATTTGCAGGAAAATGTGAGTGAAAAAAGCAAAGATTATAATGTGTTGCCACTTGGCATTTCTGAGCTGCAAATATCAGATGAGAACTACCTCTCCCATCCACAAGGCAAAAGAGGGGAAGGTCTGCAGGGAGATCCAGCATTGCTGAACACAAAACATGGGCCGGTGCATCACAGGCCTCCGCCTTCCAAACGAGATAGTAACTCCAGGCGACAGGACAATTCTTCAGCATCACTTGCTGCTTCCTCGGAGTCTTCACTGACTGTGCCCAACAGGTCTGTTCAGTCCCTCTCTTCTCCTGCTGCCAACGTGGTTGCAGTGAGCTCACCTGCTTCTCAGACTCCGGGAAAGATTGTTGGAAAATATACCTGCACTGAGCTGCCAGATCCTCCCCAACCAGCAGCATCCATAGAGAATGCTTGTCAGCACTTAGAAAAAAAACCACATCTCAGATCTGAACCTGTGCTTGCTTCAACGTATCGCAACCATCTAAAACCTGATATGGAGGCATCAAGGTCCCCTTCACCACAGTTTGCCCCCCAGAAGCTTACAGACAAACCTCCTGTGGCTGTTCAGGATGACAATCCAGCAAGGTAATTTGGTCTATAAACAATTTACAATCCCTGCCTTAATGTTTTGGGGTTGTGTGTGTGTGTGTGTGAGAGAGAGAGAGAGTAGTGACTGGAGAAACTGCAAGTTGCTTCTGGTGTGAGAGAATTGGCTGTCTGCAAGGACGTTGCCCAGGACACGTCCGGATGTTTTACCGTCCTGTGGTAGGCTTCTCTTCTGTTCCCACATGAGAAGCTGGAGCTTACAGATGGGAGCTCATTCCTCTCCCTAGGTTCGAACCACCGACCTTTTGGTCAGAGGTCCTGCTGGCACAAAGGTTTAACCCATTGCGCCACCAGGGGCTCCAATGTTTAGGTTAAATAAATGATCTAATGTGTATCTAATACTTAGCATTCCAAACAAACTGTGGCACTATTTATTTATATGCTGTTGTTTTAACATTAAAATATGTCTTTTAATAATACAGAACTTGAGGAAAGAGGCAAGTGTAATTCATAAAGCGAAAACATTAGACAAAATTTATATACTACTACTAATCTGCAAAAAAAAGGAATGCTGCTCTCTCACACACACACCATTTGGGAATTCTTCTTATGCAATTTGGCTTCAATGCCAGTGTCTAAATCTGGCATTTATTTGAAAGGGAAGCAAAAAAAATTGAAACTGGAATTTGCATTTTGCAAATGTACAAGTGCAGTCACTAATTTGTCCTAAGACATATCACATATCTCTCAAATGCAGCTCTCTGCATAATGTGCTTGGCTTCAGCAAACTGTCTCGGCCTGACTCCTGAATAGAGTCCAGATAAGAGAGCAGAGAATCTATAACTAGGTAAAGAATGAACAGCAGGTGATAAAAGTAAATATGGTGTTTCTAAACAAGAGAAGGCAAAGTAGACAAGGTGCTGTTCATACAATTCACAATTACTTCATAATGGGTTTTAAAGTTCATAAGCTGCGGGGTTGATGAGAATTTGTGAACCACATCTACTGTTTACATTACAGTAAAGATTTTGATGCATATGAGGGCTTCAACACAAACAGCTGCAGATATGAAATTTCTATGTATTCAATAATACCAAATTGAGACAGTAACAAAGGATTAATTTTATTTTACTTCCCTGATCCATGGAGATAAAATGTTTACCGTTAATATTTACTATTTAAAACTATGTAGACATTTACTTATTGAAAAATCAGTGGTGTGGCAAGAAACCCCTGAATTATCTTAGTTGTCTGTGTCAAAAAGTATATACCTTGTTTGGGAAGAGTGTCAAGTGGGGAACTGAGTGCTTTTCTTGTAAGAAAATATGACAGTGTTCGGCAGTATGTATAAGGAGAATTGATTACACACAATGCCCACCCTCTTTGACAATGTTAAGTTTGAGTTATTTCAGGGATAATCTCATTTATCATCACATATATTTGAGATTGACTTTAATGAAACAAGTAGCTTAGAAATATACAATATCTGTTGGTTGCTTGCACATCGTCATTTATATATATTGAAACAAAACCCAAATTTTGGACCCTCCTGTCATTTGGAACTGTACAAAATGATTGATAGGAAGAATCACAGTTATGGCAGCAGCACTCAAAGCAGTCCTCTTTTCCTTCTTCCCTAGTAGCTAGCTGTAACACAATCTAGTATCCTTTCACACTTACAAGTGATTTTAAGTGTCTTCAAAACTAGCCTTTCATCTCATTCAAAATGTACACACAAATTAAGCTGATAAATAATTGGTGTGAATGTTGCCTCTTTAGGGAGGTTGAATTGCCTTCTTGGGTCCACATCCAGGGTGTGCTAGGAAGCCACTCGTAAACATAAATATGATTTTGAGCATTTTTAGCCTAAATGTACAAAACAAAGCTTAACCTTTATTCATTATATAGACATAAATTAAGATGAATTAAAAATGAATTCTAGAATAGGTAAAGACTTTGATATGTTTTTTAAGATCCCATGTTCAGCAATAGATTTTAGTTGATTAACATACAGGTGAAAAATACAGTTTTTCCATATTAAATATAGTGTGCCATTTTATCAATTCATATTGTTCTCTTTTTTCAAGAATTGAACGAGTTATGGATAACAACACAACAGTAAAAATGGTCCCGATCAAGATTGTGCATTCCGAGAGCCATGCAGAGAAGGAAAGCCGACAGAACCTTGTGAGTACCATAGAGCCTCCTGCTTTACCCAGTGGCTTGGAGAAAGACCAGATCAAAACACTCAGCACTTCTGAACAGTCCTACTCACGCTTCTGTGCTTACACAAGGCAAGGGGTAGAGCCGGAGCCTGAGAGCAAAACCAAACTGCCTTATTTGCAGACTGCGGAAGCACTTGGGCCCCCCACAAAGGACACTGATATTTCTGGCCACACCGCCAGCTATGTCAGAGCCAAAGAGAAGACAATCGAAGACTGGAAGTCAGAAGAATTAGCCAGAGAGATAGTGGGCAAGGATAAATCACTAGCAGATATCTTAGACCCAAATATGAAAATAAAAACCACAATGGACCTGATGGTGGGAATCTTCCCAAAAGATGAACATCTCTTGGAAGAAGCTCAACAACGCCGGAAGCTCCTTTTAAAAGTTCCTTCACCCAGAACGTCAGAAGACAAGTGAGTAGTTGTGTATTCTTTTTGATTTTTTTAACTACAAACATACATTTTCCTTATTGCTTTGTCCAAAGTGCACCTAAAAGGCATGGAAGGAAGAAGAAAACAAATTCAAGTTCCATTGTTTACATAATCCTAGTTTAATGTTCTAGCAAAAAGATGCAATAGCCATAGAGAGAGACACTGGTCCAAGGGAAGGAGCCAGATGGCACTGATTCCAACCAAGATAATGGAGTGTACTGTCCAACTTGACATCTTCCTCCTATGCAAGCAGGCATCATGAAGAAATAAGGTTCCTCTCATCCTTGCTGAAAAGTCTATATGGGTACCAGTTTCTCATATAGGCATTACTTCATGTGCACATAAAGCCAGTAACAATCCATTCCCAAAGCATATCCATACATGTTAAGTATATATTGTGGGTGGAAATTGGCTCCCAGACTTTGCTGAAGTGTAAATTTGGCCGCAAAGGCAACTGGGTGCTAATTCTTAAACTGTTCAATTAAGCTGTTCTGGAGCCTGCTTCAAGAGTTGCAGTTCTTAAACAAACTACAATTGGGTTTAATGCTTTGAACAAACTTTGTACTCAAAATCAATACCATGTATTCACCATTAGCAGCGGTAATCTTTTAATCAACACAAGCTCTGGGTTTAATGTACCTTAATAAGAACATTTTGATTTATTTGTGTCCAGTTTTAATTAAAATACACCAGGAAGCTTATGAGCAGTCTCAGAAGAATTCAGACTAAAGGCAAATTAACATAACCAAGTGCAGTTGAAGGTATATATTTGTATGGTTGAAGGCCCTGTTTCTGTGACAATGAACCAAATGTTGAAAAGCTTGGTGATGTTACAATCTGATAATACCCAGGATCTCTAGGTGTCTAGGTATGGTAAGGAATCCATCTGTGTTGTAAATAGCAATCTTCTTCAGGCCTCCACGAGTAATTCATTTGTATATGATTCTGTTTGTATGCTGTATTGTATAAATATGTTTTGGTATGCAGCTTTCCCTTTACTTTATGTTTCTTGAGGTTGTGGGAGACCACATGATCAGATCTGGGACTGTTCAGATCTCAGGCTCCATTTTAGGGGACAAAGACACTATGAGACTTTGGACTGTTAAGAGCAAACTTATGTTGCTGTTGATTATAAGAAAGATGCCCTGTGTTATCTGCACACATAAACTACTTCAAAACCTATCTGTAACTGGAGTGACAAGTTATGTACCTGTATGCTGAATACATGAAGGTTGTGAGTAAACCAAATATGTTACTTTTAACGAAGTCTACTTTATTTTTTCTCTTGAGAGCATGACATAGAAACAAAATACTTTATGGGAGAGTAGATGTTTTGGGCATTTAAAAGCACACTTCTGAAGAACTGCTATATTTTGTGCATTGGCATAATCTCTGTTCCTGACAGATCAGTCTAACAACTGAAAGCCAAATTGCCTTGCATAAGTACATATGATTATATACCGCTGAAGATAAGATTTTACTTGAAAGAGTTTTTGGCTCTTCTCTGGAAGGTCATAATTTTACAAAAGGTTATGGAGATTCTGGTTTTCTAAAAGGTTTGTTGTTGTTCATTCGTTCAGTCGTCTCCGACTCTTCGTGACCTCATGGACCAGCCCACGCCAGAGCTCCCTGTCGGCCGTTACCACCCCCAGCTCCCTCAAGGTCAGTCCAGTCACTTCAAGGATGCCATCCATCCATCTTGCCCTTGGTCGGCCCCTCTTCCTTTTGCCTTCCACTTTCCCCAGCATAATTGTCTTCTCTAGGCTTTCCTGTCTCCTCATGATGTGGCCAAAGTACTTCAACTTTGTCTCTCGTATCTTTCCCTCCAATGAGCAGTCGGGCTTTATTTCCTGGAGGATGGACTGGTTGGATCTTCTCGCAGTCCAAGGCACTCTCAGCACTTTCCTCCAACACCACAGCTCAAAAGCATCGATCTTCCTTCGCTCAGCCTTCCCTAAGGTCCAGCTCTCACATCCGTAGGTGACTACAGGGAATACCATGGCTTTGACTAGGCGGATCTTTGTTGCCAGTCTGATGTCTCTACTCTTCACTATTTTATCGAGATGGGACATTGCTCTCCTCCCAAGAAGTAAGCGTCTCCTGATTTCCTGGCTGCAGTCTGCGTCTGCAGTAATCTTTGCACCTAGAAATACAAGGTCTGTCGCGGCCTCCACATTTTCTCCCTCTATTTCCCAGTTCAATCATTCTTGTTGCCATAATCTTGGTTTTTTTGACGTTTAGCTGCAACCCGGCTTTTGCGCTTTCTTCTTTCACCTTGATTAGAAGGCTCCTCAGCTCCTCCTCGCTTTCGGCCATCAGGGTGGTGTCATCTGCATATCTGAGGTTGTTAATGTTTCTTCCAGCAATTTTCACTCCAGCCTTGCATTCATCAAGCCCCGCACATCGCATGATGTGTTCTGCATACAAGTTAAAAAGGTTGGGTGAGAGGATGCAGCCTTGCCGTACGCCTTTCCCAATCTTGAACCAGTCTGTTGTTCCGTGGTCAGTTCTGACTGTTGCTACTTGGTCGTTGTACAGATTCCTCAGGAGAGAGACAAGGTGGCTTGGTATCCCCATACCACCAAGAACTTGCCACAATTTATTATGATCCACACAGTCAAAGGCTTTAGAATAGTCAATGAAACAGAAATAGATATTTTTCTGAAACTCCCTGCCTTTCTCCATTATCCAGCGGATATTGGCAATCTGGTCTCTCGTTCCTCTGCCTTTTCTAAACCCAGCTTGAACAACTGGCAACTCTCGCTCCATGTATTGCTGGAGTCTTCCTTGCAGGATCTTGAGCATTACCTTACTGGCATGAGAAATAAGGGCCACTGTACGGAAGTTTGAGCAGTCTTTCGCATTTCCCTTTTTTGGTATGGGGATATAAGTTGATTTTTTCCAGTCTGATGGCCATTCTTGTGTTTTCCATATTTGCTGGCAAATGGCATGCATCACCTTGACAGCATCATCTTTTAGATTTTAAACAGTTCAGCTGGGATCCCGTCGTCTCCTGCTGCCTTGTTGTTAGCAATGCTTCTTAAGGCCCATTCAACCTCACTCCTCAGGATGTCTGGTTCTAATTCATTCACCACACCGTCAAAACTACCCTCAATATTATTATCCTTCCTATACAGATCTTCTGTATAGTCTCGCCACCTTCTCTTGATCTCTTCAGCTTCTGTTAGGTCCCTGCCATCTTTGTTTCTTATCATACCAATTTTTGCCTGAAATTTACCTCCAATGTTTCTAATTTTCTGGAAGAGGTCTCTTGTCCTTCCTATTCTGTTGTCTTCCCACTTCTAAAAGGTTACGATCTCTAAAAATATCATGCCTTTCCAAATATCTGAAATCCAGGAGGGCCATTGGCATCACTAAGACTTGGCCTGGATGGGACCGACAGTCTGACTCAGTACAAGACAGCAGTACCCAGGATCCTTCTACCAAACAAACGTGTAAATAATCAGACTGGAAATAAGCCAATGCTACAATTTCTCTTGCATGTTAAATAATTACTACAATTTCTACTTTATTATATGTCTTCTCAATCCATTTTCTTTTTTAAAAACACTTCTGGAATTTAAGAGATGGTTGGCTTTGGTAACAGAGTCTTTCAAGCATTAGAATTGTAGATAATGAAACACAAACTGCTGTGTTTTTGACTAAAAGGTGTGCTTATGGGATTTTATAGTCAAGGCTAATGAAAGCCCCAAAGAGGTTTAAATGCTGTCTCCCTCCCACTGCCCATATAATCAAGGATGGGCATGGATATATAAGTAGTGATAGAGAGCGTTAATTAGGAGGCAAAGTAGAAATCAGCACTTTCAGGCAATAATTTTGGTAGATTCTTTTAACTACCTTTCTCTGGGTTCTAAGAGTGCCCAAATGGTACTATTATATTATGGATGCCGTTGGACCTATAGTGCTGCTGTAGTTGCAAATCTTTTTCTTAAGCCAACAATTTGCTTGTGGTATTCAGTGCTGCAAAGCTACTGTTGTATTCCCTTTAGTGTGCAGAATTCTAGAAAGTGATTTCTTTTAATTCTCTGCTTAGGAAAGAAGAACCGTCTCTGCCTCTGGGCATCCCCTTGACAACCAACTCCACCTACTACAGCACCTCTGCCCCCAAGGCAGAACTCTTGATTAAAATGAAGGATATGCAGCAGCAGCAGCAGCAAAAAGAGGAGGATTCTGAGGATGAGCTGGACCATGATTTGTCTGAGAAGAAGGTGAGCTGGCTTTTCTTTGTATGGGTTACTCGCTGTTGGTAGCCATGAGCTCTGTGAAGTGTTCTCAAACCAAATATAGTAAAAACACAATGTTGTGAAACACATTGACATCACTAACTATGTCATGATTTTTGTTACCCTCTTCACATAGTAGGTGACTTTTTGATTTTCCAATTTTCCTAATCTAAATTCCAATATGTTGATTTTATTTATCATGTCAGAAGCGAGTTGAGGGTAGAGTTAACATGTATTTAAAAATGCAAAAATGATTTTATATTGATTTTATAATGCTGTTTTAATTGTATATGGTTGATTGTTATGGCATCAAATTTCTGCCAATTTGTAAGCCGCCTTGAGTCACCTTCGGGCTTGAGAAAGGCGGGATAGAAATATCAAAAATGAATGAATGAATGAATGAATGAATAAATAAATAAATAAATTTGAAAACTTGGTATTATGCTAAATGTCCTTTGACCAGAAGCTGGCCACTTGGAATGCCTCTGTTGTTGCTGTGAGAAGGTCTTCTATTGTACAGGTGGCAAGGCTCAGATTGTATTTTAGTACGTGGTCTGTGGTTTGCTTTTCTTCTTATCTGTAGGTAAGGAAAATCCTCTCCTTCAGAAATGTGTCCCCTCCTACATAAAGGGCAGTAGAAGTAGTAACAGCTGGTCTTTTTATCAGACTTATTGGACCATCACCACGGGACATGATACTCCAATGAAGGAAACACAGGAGAGGAAAGCCCATCTCAGGCTGAACAAGAAATCAAGTCACAATATTTCTGCTGGTTGCAAATACCCTTTCTGCTTACTAGAAAGAACAGCTAAATTTAATGGATGATACACTTCTCATATTCTAGAATAACGAGAGGCAGACTTCAGACTTGCATGATTTCATAATCTGAACTAGTGCAAAAGAAACACATTTGGAAATAAAAAGTTCTAATCCTAGGAGTTTCTTTCGAGTACAAGAACAAAGTTTTGAGCTTCTGTGGTGTAGCAATTTGAGTGTTGGACTAGGACTCTGGTAAGAGAGGGTTTGAGTCCCTCCTCAGCCGCTGGATGATCTTGGGCAAGTCACAACTCTTTCAAATTAGATGTTGACTTTTGGTAATTCTATGAATTTTCTTAGGTATTTTTTTCCAGTACCTTCTTCTGAAAAATAGCCTATATTGCCTGATATTTGTTGGCACCCTCCCTTCCAAGTACAAACCAGAGCTGACTCTGCTTAGCTTCCAAGAGCCATAATTGTAGGCTCTAGATCAGTGGTTCTCAACCTGTAGGCCCCCAGATGTCTTGGCCTACAACTCCCAGAAATCCCAGCCAATTTACCAGCTGGCATGATTTTTGGGAGTTGAAAACCAAAATATCTGGGGACCTACATGTTGAGAACCACTGTTCTAGATTCACTTTAGGATTGTTAAAAGTTAGAAGTGACTTTAAGACTACCAGAACAAAATAGTCTTCTATACAAGAAACAATTCTTGATTGTTCAAATCTTTCTTCATCTTACCTATATAATGGGGAGAGAGAATATATTGTTGATATTCTTACAGAATGGAGAACTGAAAAATCATTCCAGTCCGTTCACCTTAATGTAGAATAAGTAATCATGTAGATAGTAGCTACCATGTAAATAGCCTGTCAGGACTCCTTTATATACTAGAAAACTAGAAATAAGTAGAGCTCATTGGAGAGCTGGATACCTATATCGGGGGAGCAAACATAGCACATACCTTACACATTGAAGGCCCCAAATAGTATCTCTGTCTTCTCTAGCTCAAAGCATCAGGTGGGGTAGGGAAATATGAAAGACCTTTGCCCAAGACCCAGAAAACACCAGAGCCAACCAGGGTAGGAAATACAAGCGTTGTTAAAATAATGCCAACATTGGTTTGCTCAGCCATTAACAAAGTGCTTTTTTGCATGCTTGAAATCTGATGTTTCTCCCACGTGTGTACCAGGTTTTAAGAAATTCTGACAGATCATGGAGCTGTAGTGAACTGTTAAAATGACATCAGTTGCAGATGCCCATTATAAGCAATGAGCTGTAATTGAATTCTAGGTTCATGAAAATGAAAATGTGGTGAACATCCATAAACATTTGAGTGCAGCATGCATGCAGAAGGTGTTGCTACTCGTTTTTCAGAAAATCCCTGCACCTCATGGCAGGACCCCATAACTCGCCTCATTCAGTAAGGGTCTGCCAACTCTGTGCAACACTTCTCAGAGCTTGGAAAAGTTGCTCAGTTTGCATGGTGTGCAGATGCTGGCTAAGTGATTTTGGGAATTCTGTTCGTTCATTCGTTCAGTCGTCTCCGACTCTTCGTGACCTCATGGACCAGCCCACGCCAGAGCTCCCTGTCGGCCGTTACCACCCCCAGCTCCCTCAAGGTCAGTCCAGTCACTTCAAGGATGCCATCCATCCATCTTGCCCTTGGTCGGCCCCTCTTCCTTTTGCCTTCCACTTTCCCCAGCATAATTGTCTTCTCTAGGCTTTCCTGTCTCCTCATGATGTGGCCAAAGTACTTCAACTTGGTCTCTAGTATCCTTCCCTCCAGTGAGCAGTCGGGCTTTATTTCCTGGAGGATGGACTGGTTGGATCTTCTCGCAGTCCAAGGCACTCTCAGAACTTTCCTCCAACACCACAGCTCAAAAGCATCGATCTTCCTTCGCTCAGCCTTTCCTAAGGTCCAGCTCTCACATCCGTAGGTGACTACAGGGAATACCATGGCTTTGACTAGGCGGATCTTTGTTGCCAGTCTGATGTCTCTACTCTTTACTATTTTATCGAGACTGGACATTGCTCTCCTCCCAAGAAGTAAGCGTCTTCTGATTTCCTGGCTACAGTCTGCATCTGAAGTAATCTTTGCACCTAGAAATACAAAGTCTGTCACGGCCTCCACGGTTTCTCCCTCTATTTTCCAGTTGTCAATCATTCTTGTTGCCATAATCTTGGTTTTTTTGACTTTTAGCTGCAACCCGGCTTTTGCGCTTTCTTCTTTCACCTTGATTAGAAGGCTCCTCAGCTCCTCCTCGCTTTCGGCCATCAGAGTGGTGTCATCTGCATATCTGAGGTTGTTAATGTTTCTTCCAGCAATTTTCACCCCAGCTTTGCATTTATCAAGCCCCGCACATCGCATGATGTGTTCTGCATACAAGTTAAAAAGGTTGGGTGAGAGGATGCAGCCTTGCCGTACGCCTTTCCCAATCTTGAACCACTCTGTTGTTCCATGGTCAGTTCTTACTGTTGCTACTTGGTCCTTGTACAGATTCCTCAGGAGAGAGACAAGGTGGCTTGGGATGCCCATCCACTAAGAACTTGCCACAATTTATTATGATCCACACAGTCAAAGGCTTTAGAATAGTCAATGAAGCAGAAGTAGATGTTTTTCTGAAACTCCCTGCCTTTCTCCATTATCCAGCGGATATTGGCAATTTGGTCTCTCGTTCCTCTACCTTTTCTAAACCCAGCTTGAACATCTGGCAACTCTCGCTCCATGTATTGCTGGAGTCTTCCTTGCAGGATCTTGAGCATTACCTTACTGGCATGAGAAATAAGGGCCACTGTACGGAAGTTTGAGCAGGCTTTCGCATTTCCCTTTTTTGGTATGGGGATATAAGTTGATTTTTTCCAGTCTGATGGCCATTCTTGTGTTTTCCATATTTGCTGGCAAATGCATGCATCACCTTGACAGCATCATCTTTTAAGATTTTAAACAGTTCAGCTGGGATCCCGTCATCTCCTGCTGCCTTGTTGTTAGCAATGCTTCTTAAGGCCCATTCAACCTCACTCCTCAGGATGTCTGGGTCTAATTCATTCACCACACCGTCAAAACTATCCTCAATATTATTATCCTTCCTATACAGATCTTCTGTATAGTCTCGCCACCTTCTCTTGATCTCTTCAGCTTCTGTTAGGTCCCTGCCATCTTTGTTTCTTATCATACCAATTTTGGCCTGAAATTTACCTCCAATGTTTCTAATTTTCTGGAAGAGGTGTCTTGTCCTTCCTATTCTGTTGTCTTCTTCCACTTCCATGCATTGCTTATTTAAAAATAGTTCCTTATCTCTTCTGGCTAACCTCTGGAATTGCGCATTTAACTGGGCATATCTCCACTTATCCCTGTTTCCTTTTGCTTTCCTCCTTTCTTGGGCTACTTCCAGTGTCTCAGCAGACAACCATTTTGCCTTCTTGGTTTTCTTTTTCTTTGGGACGTACTTTGTTGCCGCCTCCTGAACAATGTCTCGGACTTCTGTCCATAGTTCTTCTGGGACTCTGTTTACTAAATCTAGTGCTTCAAATCTGTTCTTCACTTCCACTGTATATTCGCTAGGAATGTTAGTGAGATCATATCTAACTGGTCTGTGTATTTTCCCTGATCTCTTTAGTTTTATTCTAAATTGGGCAATAAGAAGTTCGTGATCTGAGCTACAGTCAGCCCCAGGTCTTGTTTTCACCGACTGGATGGATGTCCGCCACCTTTGGCTGCAAAGGATGTAGTCAATCTGATTTCGGTGTTGACCGTCTGGTGAGGTCCATGTGTAAAGCCGTCTTTTAGGTTGTTGGAAGAGAGTATTCGTTATACACAGCGAGTTTTCCTGGCAAAATTCTATCAGCCTGCGTCCCGCTTCATTTTGTTCTCCCAGACCATGCTTGCCTGTGATCCCAGTTGTCATTTGACTTCCCACCTTGGCATTCCAGTCTCCTGTAATGAAAATAATGTCTCTTTTTGGTGTATTATCCAGTAGGTCCTGCAGATCCTCATAAAACTGATCTACTTCTGCTTCTTCAGCAGCTGTGGTTGGGGCGTATATTTGGATCACTGTAATGTTGAAAGGCTTTCCTTGCACTCGAATTGAGATCATTCTGTCATTTTTTGGGTTGTATCCAAGCACCGCTTTAGCGAAATTCTTATTAATTATGAAGGCTACTCCATTTCTTCGATGTTCCTCTTGTCCGCAGTAGTAGATCTGGTGGTCATCTGATGTGAAGTGGCCCATTCCAGTCCACTTCAGTTCGCTGACCCCCAGAATGTCTATCTTTAGTCTTGACATCTCGCCAATAACAACATCCAATTTGCCCTGGCTCATAGATCTTACATTCCAGGTTCCTATGGTGTGTTGATCTTTAGAGCATCGGATTCGTCGTTCACCTCCAGTACCGTCGGCCGCTAGCCTTCCTTTCGGCTTTGAGCTAGCTGCGTCATCACATCTGGGGCTAGTTGAACTTATCCTCTGCTCCTCCCCAGTAGCATTTTGGCCATCTTCCGACCTGGGAGTCCCATCTTCCAATGGCATACCGACATATCTCTGGTTGTACTGGTCCATTTAGTTTTCTTGGCAAGGATACTGGAGTGGTTTGCCATTGCCTTCCCCAGGGATCACGCTTGGTCTGACCTCTCTGCCACAACCGTCCCGTCTTGGGTGTCCCTTCACGGTTTCGCTCATGACATCATTGAGGTGCTCAAGCTCCAGCGCCCCGACAAGGCGGTGATCCTTTGCTGGAGTATTATAATGGGAATTATAATGGACCAATAATATTTCCTAACTCGGGAATTTTGGGAATTATAATGGGAATTATAATAACTTTGGGAATTATAATGGACCAATAATATTTCCTAACTCGGGCATTTTCAGGGAGCTGAAAGTCTGCAAAGAAAGAAGTTGAATACAATTGTTTTCTTCCTCTAGCACGTGACTAAATCTATACATAAGTAACACTGTACCCAATCCAGTATTTCGAAGTAATATAAATAATCCTACAATTGAGATCCAGTGTTTCTTCTGGGTCCATGGGAAGATTTCCCACCTTCTCCTCTTGTCTTCAATTGACAGCTAACCCGCCTAGATCTAGGTTGTATCAAGTGTGCCTCATAAACTTTCTTATTTTTTCTTCATTTTTTAGCAAGAGCTTATAGATAGCATAAGCCGAAAGCTGCAGGTTCTGCGAGAAGCACGGGAAACTCTCCTGGAAGACATTCAGGCCAACAACCTACTTGGAGATGAAGTGGAGTCCCTTGTAAAAGAGGTCTGCAAATCCAATGAGTTTGACAAGTTTCGGATGTTCATTGGAGATCTAGACAAAGTAGTCAACCTCTTGCTGTCTCTCTCTGGTCGATTAGCCCGGGTAGAAAATGCAATAAACAACTTGGATGAAAATGCCTCTGCAGAAGAGCGGGTAAGGTGATGTGCTGTGTTGCTGTTGTATTTAAGAAAGGAAGTGTCCATTTAAGTCAATTTTCTCAATAAATAGAGCTAGGTTGGGACTTTAGAAGTATGAGAGCCTCCCAAATATAAAATGAGCCTAATACAAAAACGACAAAAGGTCAGCCATGACAGAAGTGGAAAGTCCAAGATCTTGAATGGCATGCAGAAATGCAAATATCGAGCTGCTCCTATTCATCATCACATCTTTTAACATATCCTATCAGCATAGTGAATATCGTGTAGTTGTGGAAGTGGCTTTTCATTCTATTTGAGATGCATTAAATACTTTTGTAACATTTCTTCCTTTTTTAAATAGCAAAATTAAAAATTCATCCTATGACTGAAGAAACTGTAATGTCTATGTCATCTGTAAATCGAGTTCCATTTTAGTGTCTTGTTTCCCTTTCTGTGGTCTCTGTTTCAGTCTTGTAGTCTTCCTTTTACAGTCTCGTCACCTTATTTCCTATGTTTTTCTGTTCCTACCTTTCTCCATTTTATTCCCTTTAATAAATGTCATCTTAATTAACTGACCTGTTAAACCATATTGTGCTTCTAGTGATCATTCTCAGATCCTTGATTTTTGCAGAAGAAAATGTCTATGTGCAGTAGAGATTTATGTTACTAGAATCATAGAGTTGGAAGAGACCACAAAGACCATCCAGTCCAGCATCCTGACATGCAGGAAAACCACAAAACACCCCAGAGAGATGCTCATGCAATCTCTGTTTAAAAGTTGCCAAAAAAAAAAAAACCCTCCATCACACTCTGCAATAGTGAGTTTCACTGTTGAACAGCTCTCATTATCAGGAAAGTCTTCCTAATGTTCAGATGGAATCTCCTTTCCTGTAAATCAAACTCTAGTTGTATAAACTGGGATGAGGAAGGGTTCTATGCTTCCTCTCATTTCCAACATTATAGCTGAACAAATGAAAAATAAGCTTTTTGGAATATTGTTTAGATGGATGGTAAAGTTTAAGCTCAAGCAAATCGAAATCAGCAGGAGTTATACATTTAATATGAGCATTTTGATGTGATGGTGCATCTGTAACATTGAAGATCTCATATCTGAAGTTTGAGAAGAAAACCTTTCTGCATTTATAAATGTCTGTGTTCTCAATTGAAAATGTCCACCTGCCAACCAAATAGCACACATTAGTTGCATAGGTTGCTCTCCACCTCTGTGGCCCTCTTCCAAATCTGCTTGGAAGAGGAAGGGTCCTGCTCAGAGCCAAATTTGGGTTGAAGTGTGGATGAAGGGAGGGAAATGTCCTCTCGCGTAAGTAGGTGTTCACTTCCATAAACTTGGATGCAGCCTGTTTCGAAATCTATTGAACTTTTTAAAATCATAACTGGGATCTGGTGGAAATGTAATAGACAATCTGCCCTGGAATTTTGGAATAATGGTGTTCCTTTCCTTTTTCCCCAACAAGCGGGTCCTGGAAGAAAAGCAGAAACTGCTGACGCAACAGCATGAAGATGCCAAGGAGTTGAAGGAAAATCTGGATCGAAGGGAGCGCATTGTATTTGACATTTTGGCCAACTACCTGAATGATGAGAGCCTTGCGGATTATGAACACTTTGTCAAGATGAAATCAGCGCTCATAATTGAGCAGCGGGAGCTGGAGGACAAAATCAAACTTGGGGAGGAGCAGCTCAAGTGTCTGACTGACAGTCTGCAGCCTGAAAGACCCAAATGACACTCTCAAAAGGAATAGCATGCCTTGGGCAGTGTTGATGCATATGCAACTTCTTTGATTGCTAGGAGGAGCCTAACTAAAGAAAGAACATCATAAAAGCAAGAATGCTAGCCTTTGTTTCTATGTGGGTTGATTTGCATTTCTAGAGACTCCTTTGGATTTCCTTTTATCATACAGACCATAGATTCTGTGCTTCAGTTCATCATATCAAGGAAAATGGGGCAATTTCGCATGAGTACCCTGGTTTTTTTTTTGAAAAAAATAAACTATGTTCAAATTCTATTCAGGCTGCAGTGAAAGCCCTGGAAAATAACATTGAAGACTATTGATTTTAGGGACTTTATAGTCTTGTATTTAAGTTGGTGAGGTTCAGTAGCATTTTTAAAAGTACACACAGTTGGATGCTTTTTGAATTAATGTTACCTAATACCTGTCTTTAAAAAAATAATGTGAGAACTGTTTGGATAAGTAGATCTTTTATCAAACTGCAATAAAACTACTTCCAAGCACACTTAGGGAATTGTGTGTTTGCATGGCAGCTATTTGGTTCCTTTAAACACCTTCCTGTGGCTTTACTCAGTCAGGAAAGTCCTTGGTGTCACCTTTCTGTTTTTACGAAGGACCTTGAACCAAAAATATATGTTATTTTATTACCACCCTGATAAATCCACAAAAAAGGAAAAACTTTCCAAGCTTCAGATATGGGACAGTCTAGTCCTGTAAGGGGTAAGCTTCCTGACTTTCAAAATAAGGAATGTCTCTTATAATAAGAGACATTTCTCTTATAATAAGAAACATTTGCCAGCCTCTAAAAAAACAAGCTTTCTGCCTGTCAAATAAGGAAATCCCTTATAATAAGAGACCGTGGCAACTCAATTTGAAAATTAGAAATTGCTTTTTGCAAGATCTATTCCATTCCAGTTATTACTTGAATAATAGGTCAGCAGTGGGATGAGATGAATGAGGTCATGAAGGACTTGATTATGATGTTTTCAGATCTGTAAAACAGGGGAGAACTAGTTCTACATTACACTAGGTGCCAGAGATTTTTTTTAATCACACTTGGTGGTCATCCTACTAACAGTGAAATGTTTTTGTAGTGCATGAGGTCGCTCCATCTAGGTTTGTTTTTAATTTTTTATCTTTTCTTCTTTTTCTTCTGCAAGTAACAAAGTCCTTGCTTACCATATGTAGGTTGAATATATTCATATTTACACCCATCCACTCACTTCAATATAAGTACTGAAGCAAGTCAGTACTTTTCTATTGACAGATATCACAGTCCTAAGGGGACCTTTGGTTCCTGCTCCATTTCACAAATAATTAGGTCTTCAAAACTAAACATAAAATTACTACTGTAAAATCTTTTATTGCTAGTCCCAGCAAACCTTTTTTAAAAAAATATGTTTTGAACGTTTTAATATGTTTTTCTTATTTTCTTTGTTCAGCCTCTTTTTTATAGTTTTACTGTGAAATGGTTTAAGTGACACTTAAAACTTGGACTTTCTGCCTCTTTAAAATGTGGAACTAATTTGAATTTTGTGGAAAGAAAAGTCTTTATCTCAGGAGACCAATTAACAGGTGGATTGACTTCATCAAGGGAGCCACGGCCCTCAATTTGCAAGTGCTGAGCCAGTAGTTGATGGCCTGGGCTCTTGGGGATTTCATTCCTAGGGTCACCATAAATTGAAGTAGACTTGATAGCAAATAACAGCCACAAATCATTCCTACACACTCTTCTGGCGTCAAGTTCCTTCAATGGTTGTAGTCACACTAGCTGCCCCTAATGTTTAAGGTTGAGTCCCCATGGGGAGAAAGGCGGAGTATAAATAAAGTTAATAATTATAATAATAATTATAATAATGTAATACTGTTCATAAAACTCCCAACATGTTTTCAATATTTGTCAACATCTGTTGTTTCTAAACAATTTGTGGTCAAAAATTCCACATTGCCTTGCAATCCCTTTCTTCCTCCCTGATTATATAGCCAAGTTCAAATGAACAGCTTTTAAAGAACTTTTGTCAGTGCAAACTTTCACAAAGACACATATATTGATATATATGCACACACCTACATAAATACTGTTGTAATGGTTTCATTTGTGTATTTAAGCTCCAAATATAACTTCAATATGTATGCAGTACTGCAAATTAAATCATGTTAATTCTTATGAAGATAGCAATATGAAAATTTATGTACAGTTGTATTTAATCCTCTTCTGAATCAGTTGTTTCTTCACAACCTTCATCTTGCCTTCCACATTTCTATGTTTCCATTTCTTTTCTAAATTGTTTTTGTGAGCAGGTTCTCTGGAAGCGGGCTTTGCCCTGTAGCTGTAGATAATTCTATAAATAGCTCTATTGTCACTTTGTAAGGCAGAGAATTTGGTGCTAATCGCGTTTGGCATCTATAGGTGAATGATCTCTTTTTCACCTTATGGGTCATTGCAATTTTGAGACATTTTTTGTACAGTGAAAAAATATCTTTCTGATTTTTCCCATTGTCCCTTTGGGTTTGCTACCCTGAGTTAAAAAAAAATCTTTTTGTTCCTTAAATATTTACCTACTGATAAATCATCATGCTTGACTAAGGGAAATAAACTAAATATTGTGTTTCAGCATTGTGAGTGATTTGCTAATTTCACCATAATTCACATAACAATAGTATAATGCAAATACTTCCGGATATGCATCACAATTATACATATCTGGATACATCTTCCTTCCAGGATAAAAAGAAACTGCTCACCTGACTTCCTGGGCACCACTGTTGTGACGAGGGCAGGAGAAGAGTCCTTTGGGGGCCACAATTTTCTTCTGGCAGCTGGCTCTTCTTTCCCTAGTAGGCTGTACCTTGGGGAGCATGACAGCAGGACAGCAGAAATAGGCTGCTAATGGGATTAAACCTAGTAGTTAAAATCACTGGCTGGATAAGAGACAACTGGAGGTAGGTCTTGGTCTTCAGTCTGGTTATGAGGTAGAGTATAAAAGCTGCATTTCCAGTTGGCAGACACATCAAAGAAATAAGGTAGAAGGGAAGCAGTGCTAGAGCAGCAAGGCAGGTGGTGTGACAATAAGACAAGGTGAAGCAGCAAGGCAGATGGTGGAGCTGCAGCAGATATTTGGAAGTGGAAACAGTGAAAACTCCACCAAGTGGGTTGGTGGAGTTCCACAAGAAGAATGCTGCAGCCGGAAGGAGGCCAGGAGAAGGCTGTGAAGTGGAGACTGAAGCCTACTAGGAAGGCCTACATCCAAGTTTTACATCTTCAAGATTTACATCTTCGGGCCTATGAAAGGGATAGCCAGTTCCCGTTACCCATATTCTGAATTTATGCATTTCTCTTTATGGTAGGAAGGTAGCTCCACAGTCTATGTGTGTTCATATGCCTGTTCTAGCTTTCTGGTTTAAAGCTTTGAGTGAAAAAGATTGTACTAATGATTTTTGTATATGAAAGGCACTCGAAGAGTGGATTTGGGAGAAATATGTTAAGCCCTCAAGACCCACCAAACCACTTTCCCCTGCTATTCTTCAGGGTTTGCGTCTTTTATGGATTTCTTTATGTTCTTCCCTGTATGAAGTCGCATTATTTCATGCTTCCTTCTTGATTGCCTTTTTTGCAGCACTTCAGCAAACTGATGATCTTGTCTAAAAGAGGCAATTCGGGCAATGCTAAAGCATTGAGATATATTTCCTTGTCTTCTGAGGCTTTTACTTTGACTATGTAATTGTCTAAAACAAGCCAGAGAGCGAAGAATTCTGCTCTTAAGTTGCAACAGTGCCAAAATTCAGATGTATGTCCTGTTCAGATATTTAATACATTTCTTGGGCTTTGGGGAACATAGACCTGGTCCTTAATTTTTCAACACCAACCTCCCTCCCTTGACTAGACAATAGTTTCGGTCACTCACTTCCAGGGCCTTTGAGAGACTGAGTTTGCGCAGGGCAAAATCGTATTAAGAAGTGTAGTCTGAGTTCTCATCAGTATACAAGGAATTAGCAGATTTATATACTTATTTCTTTCCTTCAGATCACATCTGCCTCTGCTATTTCTTATTCTAAGAGTCTAAACAACCCACATTTTTTTTGTTATATCTGTGACAGTTTCACCACTCCCAGTCAAACGACAAACATCAGTGCCAGGCAAGCCTATTTTGCATATTTTAAAGTAAAGCTTGGTGATTAAGGTAATTCTTGGGCCCCTCACAAGGTGTGCAAGCAGTGTGTTGAGAGTTTACAGATGTGGACAAAGTGAACATGTGATACATTGCCAACTGGTATACCCATAATTTGGTAAAAGCCCCGAGATCATTCAAGTGACTGTTACTTGGTATAACAAGAAAAATAAATGTAAACTAGAGCATCCTAGTCTACCATCAGCTATACACCCTGTGCCTCATTCAGATGAAATCCCAGTGCATTTTCATTGAACTATCCTCTTTCGAAAAACAGGAGTATGGTGAAGAATTAAGTGACAGCAACAATGAAGATTTTGAAATTGTAAGGGATTTGATCTGCATGAGTTGAATGATTTGGCACAAGATTTAGATCTATCAAAAAGGCTTCAGAACTCCTAGCATCAGTACTACATGGGAAAAACGTGTTTGAAAGAGGACCAAAGATATCCTGCTTTCGATCAAGAGAAGGTGAATTTTTGCAGTACTTTCGAAGTGACGATGGTTTTGTGTATTGCCATAACACACATGGTTTAATGGAGGAATTGAGAATTCCAATCTATGATGCAACTGAATGGCGACTGTTCGTTAATAACACAAAGTGGAGCTTGAAGTGTGTCCTTCACAATATCAGTTTATTTGGTGCAGTCCCAATTGGCCATTCAGTTTACTTTTGTCAAGAATATGAAGACATAAAGAAAGTAGTTGATCTGTTAAAATATCACAACCACAACTAGATCGTTGGGTTGACTTTAAAATGCTTTGCTCTGCTCCCTTCTTGATCAACAAAAATCTTTCAGATTGTTCCGATTGTCAAGTTTCCTTCCCTGAGTCAAAACATAGATTTCTTTTTGTTTCTTAGGTTTTTACGTACTGATAAATCAGCATGCTTGACTAAGCGATATAAACTAAGCGTTATGTTTCAACATTGGGAGTGATGTGTTAATTTCTCCACATTCCACATATCAACAACCGTGTAATGTCCATGAGGCATATCTGGAAGCATCTTGCCTCCAAGATGAAAAGATGCAGGTAACTTCGATTTGTCTTCATTCGTTTGGGACAAGC